GGGCAATGTAGAAGTGCTGACGCTGATTTTTAAATCGTATTGAACTTTCTGTATCTTATATCTGTATGGTGAGAGAATTTATAGGCCAACAGTGGTTACAGAGAGAGTGTGCGGTACAAATTGCGCAGTCATGCGCGTAGCGAGCGAGAGCGCGCGAGCGAGTTCGATCGAACGGTATTGGAAGAGCGAGCCGCCTGCGCGCCATTCTTAATGCGCGCCGAACGTAGAGAAGAGGAACCGATGAGAGCAGAGGAGAGCATAAAGGCAAGCGAGAGGAGCTCGAGTTCGAGCGCCCGAATAAAGCCAGAGGTGAGCCCGGACCAAATACAAGACAGCGGTCGGGGGGGGAATATTTGTCTAGATCGAGCCTGGACAAATGTTGATGGCCCGGCTTCTGACCCTCGAGTCGAGGCTGAGACGCAGTAGAGGGTCACCGCTCCTGGGGGTTAGGGGAAGCGAAAGTCAACCCAGGTCCGGAGCGATCTAGAAAGTCGCGTGTTGTAGAGCTCATGAGAGAGGGGGAGGGTGTGGAGATGCAGGCCGCCGGCACTTGAAATCGGCATGTCCGATATTTTCGAGCGGAGAAGAGAGGGATAGGGGGGCGGGGGGGCATTGCGTCGAGGCAGCAGGGGGGGGCTTGCAAGCGAACTAACGGACCACAGAGAGTATTATCAGAAAGTGGGTGGCGGGCGAGTGAGGGAGACGAGACGCCACGAGGACAAAGTGAGAAAGGAGAACCTCCAGACGCTTTTGTGACTTCGAAACCACAGGCGCGTGCGTGGCGCATAGAAGAGCATGAGTTGCTGTGGTAGACTAAACTGGTAATTCAAGAATTTGTTCTATAATGAGCGAAAAATTGCGTTGGAGAAATTTATATTTCCGAGCGAAATTAAGGATGAAGAGTTGTACCCACATGGAAGTATTTACTTCTTTGAATCGAAAGAAGAATCCACGAGAGGGAAATTTTTCTGATTAACTCGATGCACTAGTCGCATCCAACACTGTGTAGTATTATCGCCGGAGGTTCCACATTCTTTATTACGGTAAGCACCAAGGTTGTCAGGTTCATGTCTACATCCAGTTCATTCACTTTTTCTTCGCTTTTCTCTGGATGTTTCGGAATTTCTCAGTGAGGCTCAATGTTCCGCAGGAGATGGGTGGGTGGAAATGATGCCACGGAAGTTGCTTTCTGTAAAAATAAACTGACATCTTGTTAATCTCTGTCGCTCATTTTTATGAATTATACCGTTGTAGAGCGGCTGTTTCACCAGAAATGATTTATTTGCTTCAGTTTCGGGTTTCGAAAATGCGCTGCATTTGACAACTGTCTTTCTATTGAGAAAGCATGTAGGGAGGGCTAGCCAAAACTAAGGGGCTATGCATATCTCGGTTGCTTCGAAAATATAATAAATTTTATAATATCTTATTCGTTTCTGTTACAATCAGCAATGGTTTAAAAAAATCTGCTGCAGTTGAGCAATCACTCTCCCCTTTTTTCTTCACCTGTGAATTAAAAGGCATTGGTCAGTGCCTTTAATGATGCGCCATACATTCCACCGCACCTCTTACAATCGCAATGGATTGAAATTGTCTAGCCAATACACAAGTTGTGATGACCAGCCAATGTGAATGGCAATGTTTCGGTCTTCCTAGATGATTTCGGTGCCAAGCAACCAACCCTGTAGAAACGTGAGGTCAAGGAGGTTTCGAAAGGAATCAACTCTTACAATTAGATCACCATATATACCAATTGTCCTGCAGTGGTCCAAGGGAAAGGTCCTTGAGCAGAGAAATGGAGGTGCTTGCCTCGGCGTAAGGGTGGAGGAGCTCTATACAGTAGAGAACTTAGTGCAGAAAATAGGACAAGTTATGGTCAGAAAAGCCGAATGTAGGACATTTACCGGTCCTCACCAAAAGTGAACCTCAAATGAGTTTTTACATATTATGGTATTCTTAGTGTAAGAGAGCTCCAAAGCAGAGCTCCCAAGGACTAAGGATATGGAGAGCAAGGAATGTTCCGCCCCCGAACTCGATTTTCACCTGAAAATTTGATCATGATTTTGCTTTCATCTAATCGGAACCCGGTGGCTTTAGAAAAACCCTACACGTCCTAGGATGCAGAGGGAAGCTGTAAAGGGTTTTCTCCGCGAAATTACTAGATTGACATGTTGTTCATCTCCGTCGCTCGTTTTCATGAAATGTGCAGTTGTAGAGCGGCTGTTTCATAAGAAATGATGAATTCACTTCAATCTAGGGATTTGCAAACACGCTACCTTTTCACAATTGTTTTCATGTTGAGATATATGAAAGTAACAGTTTTAGAGTGCAAATAATTTTTTTTTATGCCACCACCATTGAGATCAGATTTATTTATTTAATTCTATTTATTATTTAATACGTCTATAAAGACATGCCGTTAATTGAGAGGGAAAAACACTGGCCGCATGGCCTATCAATTTAGGTCAAATTAGAGGAAAGAAAAAAAAACTCAACCATAACAAACAAAAACCAACAAAAATCAAGCCCAAGCGTTATCTACTCAGAGAATCAAAATCTGAAAGAAGTGCTCAGATTGAAACCCTAGACGAGCATATGAGACTAACCAATGAAAACAAATGTGACCGACCTGAGAACCAGGAGGCAGTCAAGGAACAGAACTAAAGATATAATTGAACTGGGCCAGGTAGCAAGTAACGATTGCGCTATGCATGACGGAAAGAGATTGTGAGGATACTAGCTCTCCTGCTTCTTTAGTGTAATCATCAAACCTGTAAAGGATAGCTGTCACTGTTGCCCTGAAGCCAACTTGCAATGCCCTCAACAAGCACCCGCATCAGCCGGCTGTGATGCCCTTCGCCACGCAAAGGGGTCATAGGGACTTACCAAAGCTTCGAGACACGGGTATACCGGCCGCCCACGTGGAATTGGTAAGCTGGGTCCATGTTGAAGGCAACTGCAATCAGTCCACAAGCCAACAGCAACGACTACCCTGTACTCGACTGAGTAGAAAGACGCGAAGTTTAAGGGACGTCACAGTAGTATCTCATCGCTGTTTGCTGTATATGAGTAGAGCGCAAGCTACTGCTATTAAGACCAGTACTTCTTCAGTTGGATAGGTTGTATAGTTGCTGGTACCTTCTGATCCTCAGTGGCCAACCTCGAGTATAACATAGCATCAAGTATAACAAAGTGTTTCTCGGACATGAGTCACATAGTATCGGCGAGTAAAGTAACGTTCGCTTAAGGGAAGAGACAATATCATATATGCTGAGCCGGAAAGGAGGCTACCGAATACTAAATGAGGAACATCAACATCAACAGTTATGTGGAGTAGATGGAAACGTATGTTGACGCCAACCATTGTGACGACCGTTCTCTCACTGATGGTTCCAGCAATGGAATATACCGAAAGCTGCTAATATACGACCAACCGCCATAGTTTTGCAACCATCCTTTAATCGCGGAAGTTGATAACCAAGTGATAATACTGAGTGACCAAGATGAGCTGTAACAGCGTATGAATTATAAACACATTGGACAAGCCAACGAGGTACTAATCAAATATCCTGGATTCTTAAACCTCGAAAATGTTGATTTTTTCTTTAGCTTTTTGCGGAAGTGTATTGAGTTTTCACAAGAAAGTAAACTTTGCGGCAATAAGCGCAACCATCTGCAATCGAAAAAAGAATGAGTGAAAAATAGCGTTTGAAACAATTTCTATGTAATCTTCTATGATGAATATTGTACCCGTTTACACTCCTTCTGTAAGGCCGAAAAATCCAATACTTGCTCGCTCGTAGTTTGACTTCGCTTTTGATGACCCGAAAGCCGAAAACTAAGTCACAGAATACTCGTCTATATTTCAGACTTTCCATGTTTAAGATGGTTAGTCTATCTCTATAAGACGGCATGGCCTGAGGGTAGCTAGGGTTAGGGAATGATCTGTAAAAAACCAGTCTTGTGAAAATTTTCTGAACTCTCTCCAGGCAGTATACGTGCTTTTTCTTATACGGATTCCACACTGGTGAGGCATATTCCAAAAGTGATGTTAACCACTAATATCACAAACAGCAGTGTAGCAGGAAGCACTCTTCATAACAAACCTGTTATTTGCAGTCTTTTAGGTTATGTGTACCCCAAAAATGGCCTTTTTTCTCTTTTAAGGAGTTTTGCATGAAATGTGATGGTCTAGCAAAGTGGTGGCTTCTGTGCAGATTCAGAAAAGAGTTCCATACTAACCTCAAATAGCAAGAGGCTCACTGGATAGGGATTAATTGCTGATTGCAGTGACCAACAACCATGTTTTTCGCCTCTTGGGGGTCCCTTTCCCTTGCAAAATCCGAGCTGGCTGGAAGCAGGATCAACCCTGCGTTGCTTAGTTCTCAACAGTGCATAGTACTTGAGTTTTTTTCGGAGGGACAAGGGTGGCTTCAGGGTATGAGTGAGGGTCAAAAGGTTGGGCAAATGGGGTCCGCATTTATAGAAGTTGGATGGAATGTGATGGAAAGGGGAGTCGTTTCAGACGGGATTTTTCCAAATTTTGGGGAAATTTTGAAAAAGAAAGCTTAAAGCAATCGAAAACAGACATTATGGGGAGGGTGGTGTTCGGGGATGGGTAGGGAGAGAGACGTCGTATTAGGATACTCCCCTAAGGCTGATGGTGGTGATGAGAGCTTGTATGGAAACCCAACAAAGGAGAGGTTCGTTAAAATTGAAATTGGACTAACGGACGATAGACCTCGGCTGAAAGCGAGGTTATCTGACGTGATTAAAATGGCAAACAGGAATTTAAGTTTGGACTTGAGTTCGTTGAGTATGGACTAGCCGCTCATAAGGTGGCATGTACTTTTTGAGCTCCCATACAAGCGATGTATCTTAGCGGATACAATTCTGAATCGTAAGCCTTCAGATCAAGTTGTCCAAAAATTTATTTATTTACATTACAAATTTTACAAACAATATTGATTAAGGTACTGACATCATACACAATTGTTCAATCATCAGTTGAATGTTTTAGCCTGGAATGTACGGGAACTGCCTCCTATTCTGAGATTGAGGCGTGGTGCTACGTCTTGGGCGAACGACTGAGGACGTTCATCGTGTAAGAACGATTCCTCATGTTGTTGTTCGTCGACGAGGGCTGGCGCAGATTCTGCGGAATCTTGGGAGATGTTGTGCCAGAAGCACGCCTTCATGTTCTCGAAACGATCGTAGCATGCTAGGTAGGTGAAGTCGAGTTGAGTGACATTGCCTGGGCGCTGGTCACAGAACGTCATGCACTGAAAACACTCGACATCCTTTGTTTTAATAGTAAAATCAGTAATTTAGGAAGTCCATTAAAAGTCCATTCTCTTAGGAAAAGCCATTTCGTTCTGCTAGTGAGTACAGGGAACCTAAGTCTTCTACCTTTCAACGAGCACCCCATTGGAGAGTTGAATTCAGCAGATAGTCCGAGCTCGAAGAGAAGTTTCCCAACACCAGCCGTCTCCCTTATTGTTAGGGGTCCCTCTTATTTTAACGAGCTAAGCATCAAAGAGGGGAGCACGAAGATCTCAGCGATGGTGTTCAAAAGCTAAGCGTGTGTACTGCTGCCTTCAAATGTTAACGGGTTGAGTTTGAAACTAGTTCAGAGCGGAATCAGGTTGTTTTACGATCACTTGGTGATTGAATCTGAGGCTGCGCAGAGGCTGAATGGCGCGCCAGGTACTTTGAAAACCTATTTGGCAAATCAGGTACAAACCTTATATCCAGCTAGTGTCGTGGCGACACCATTTCTAGCGCAGCATTCTCTGTGGTCTCGTCCCTGAGCGGCACAGTACTGAATGTCAGCAGCCGCTTGCATTGGGCAATGGTCCTGCTTGAAATACATCGCCTGAAATAGTAATCGATCAACACAAAAGCTGTGACCGCCCTACTTGGACAATTTTCAAAAATTGGAGGGCCCTATACGAGTGGGGTGGACAGCTTTTCACACATGTCAAGTAACTACGCTCACACCCCCCCCCCCCCCCCCAGA